CTGTTTGCAGGCGAGCTTTGCAGTCGTCTCCTCCCGTCGCCTTTCGCTGCAGTGGGTGTGGGCGGCCTTTTTGGGGTTGCTCGCCCTTCCGTGTGTCCTTCCACGTCATGGCTTGGATCATGCTTCTGCTTAGTCTGTTGGGTGTTTTTGCTGGGCCCCGCTTCTCCGCGCAGAGCTTGCGCGGCGGTGCAGCGTTCCTTGCTCTCCCGCCTTCCGTTTGGTGTGTTTGGTGTGTTTGGCCCTCTTCTTCTTTGTTGATTCCTTCTCCGTTTGGTATTTTTGCCGGGCTTGCCGGGCGCCGCTTCTTCGCGCCCTGCCTGCGCGGTGGTTCTTTGCCCTGCGACCTTCTGTTTGCCGGTGGGCTTGGCAATTCCTCGCCTAAGCAGCCTTCTGGAGGCTAGCCGTCTCGTCCCTGCCTGCCTCCCACGCTCTAGCTTGGATCATGCTTGTGCTTGCCAAGCTGTTGGATTTTCCGCTCGCGCGGCGGTTCTTCGCCCTTCGCTCTTCTGTTTGCTGGTGAGCTTTGCGGTCGTCTCATCCCGTCACCCTTCCCAGCAGTGGGTGCAGGCGGCTTTTTTGGGGTTGCTCGCCCTTCCGTGTGCCCTTCCACGTCGTGGCTTGGATCATGCTTCTGATTGGTCTGTTGGGTGTTTTCGCTGGGCGCCGCTTCCTCGCGCTGAGCTTGCGCGGCGGTTCTTCGCCCTGCGACCTTCTGTTTGCCTGCATGTTTGGCCATCTTGTCCTTTGCATTCATTCCTTGTCCGCCAGGGGTCTGAGCGGCTTTGTTGAGGTTTGCTCTCCCTTGGGTCCCTTTTTCTCTCCCACGTGGTGGCCTTGAAGCTGTTGACATTTTTGCAGGGCGCCGCTTCTTCACCCTGTCACCCACTCCTCGCTTTCTCAGCCCGACGGCCTTGCGTCTCTTGCTCTCTCCCGGCTGTGTCTTGGATCATATTTGTGCTCGTTCAGCTGTTGGCGTTTCTGCTGGGCGCCTTTTCTTCATGCTCTGCTTCCGCGACGGTCCCTCGCCCTGCCCCTTCTTTTTCAGCTTATCTTTGCTGCTGATTACTCCCCCAAGATTCCGGCCGGGCTCCTACATTCTCCCTAGCCGCCATTCTTGGGGGGCTCCGCGTCTTTGAACTGCTCACGCAGCGGTTCTCTTTGCCGTGCCGCCTTTTTCTATGCAGCTGCGCTTGGTGGCCGTCCCGACGTCGTTCAGGCCAGTGGGTTGAGCGGCCTCTTTGAGGTATGGCTCGCCCTTCCCGTTTCCGGTCTGCTGCTGCGGCTACTCCGGTTCCTTCCCATCTTATTCCTCTCTTCGCTTGTCTTCCCTGCTCTCATTTCGGCTTTCTGCCGTTATTGGGCCTTGGCTGCATTAACTAGATCCTCTGCTTGAACTCCCCGCGGAGTGCAATGACGATTCCGGAGCCCTCCTGAGATGCTCGCGGTTGTAAGGCAGCGGGTACTCCCGTGTGCCGTCCTCCTCCTCCTGGCTTTCGCTTCAGCTCCCTTCGAGCTGTGTCAGCCCGCTGGCTTCAGAGGCTTAGGCTCGCGATCCCTTCAAACTCAGGCCCGCTGGGCATTGAGCTTTGAGCCCTCGCTTGGGCCTGGGCTCTTTGTAGCTCAGTCTGGCATGAGCAGCTCGCTTGCTGCAGGCTCGCTATAGCCTCGGTGAGCCCTGGCTGGGGTCACAGCCTTAGCTTAGGACGTCAGTCCTACCAACAAGCCTAGCCTAGTTTTGCTCAGGTTATCCCACGCCCTGGCTTGGTTATTACCTTTCACGAACGGATAGGCTTGTGAGCTTGAAGCCTCCCAGCCTTCAAGCCCCTCGGTGCTACATTCAGAGCAACCCAAAGGAAACAAGAATACTGCGTCTCTTGCAGGTTGTTGTGGTAGGCGTGGGCAGGAGCTGTGCAAGAACCACTAAGGAATGGGGGGAATGTCGCTGCGTTGGGGCGACTTTTTGGACGACTTCGCCGCCCTGACAACAACGGATGCCGCAGTGCATGTTGAGCTGGCAGTGTTTGCGTTGTTCTCCCTTTTGGACTGGGGCTTTGCTAAAATTGCATCCAAAGCGTTGCCCTTCGACTCCGAGTTCCCAACCTTGGGCAGTCTGAGCTCCAAGTGTAGGGGGCCACGACGAAAACGGAGCTCCCCGCAAAGCCGCGAAGGAACCGGCGCTCACTCATTCACTAATTCACTCACTCACTGACTGATTCTCTCACTCACTCTCTTACAGACAGCGGTAGTGGCCCATAGCTCTAGACTCTAGCTTTGGCGTTGCTTATTCGATTATAATTTCAATTTCCGGCTGTTGCTTTACCGTGGACTGTGGCGGAACACATGCATTCAATGCCGAATTGTGGTCTAGGTGTAGCAACTTGCATTTTTTTGAAAATGAACACACGTTGCAAGCAGCATCGTGTTTCTGTTGGGCTAGCAACTTTTGAGTTGAGGTTTGGACGCCGGTGCCCACAGTCTAGTTTCCACAATGTTTGTTCTGAGAGAACCAAAGTGAGCGTATTGCATCAAAGTACGAAGCAAATATCATAATGATCCTTAAGCCACATGCTTGTAGGATAACACATGCAAGTCATCTTTCTCCAGCATTCAGAATTTTGAGAAGTTGAAAAACTTACAAAAACCATCAAAATTTGTCCAGTGTCTACACTCCAGGGCCGATTTGCTGAAACCGTTTTAGAGTCATCTTTCGGCCCCATTTTCATGACGTTTGAAGTTCGCATTAGCTTTGTGATCTTCAAAGTAAGACATACTTGCAAACTTTTTGTCAGAGTAGCATGGGCCAAAAAAAATTAGCCCACCAACAACATAACGTTTGGATTCCGTTGTTCAGCGTTGGGCCACCAAGACCATGTCCCTTGCAGAACAACTTTGCTGCCACTGGCGAGACACTGACACGCAAATTACCAACATGATTCCTGGGTTTCTCTTTCTTGGGGAACTCTTTGCAGAGGCTATCGGGATAGATTCAATCATCGCAACTCGGAAAAAATTATGATGCATTATGGATTTGGTGCCGACTGGCACACTTCTCCACAAACCTGCGCAGGGGGGCGCGAACGTCAAAGCTGCGCTGTCTAGAGAGGAAAAGTAGCAGCCAATCGGATACCTAAACCAGAGCATGGTCGTGAACGTTTTAATCTTATCCTTGTCCTTACGACTTACACATGTCAAACATACTTTCCGTAGCTTGCCCGAGCTTCAACTTTTTTGAACAGTTTCTGTGGGTACGTGTAGGAAACGTAAAATTGAACATCATTACTGCTGAGATATGCGGTTTTTCCTGCATGACAACAAACCAAAATGACACCAATGTTTTGTTTTCGAATTCTTGCATACGCTGTAGGATACAATGGCCGCAACTGCCAAACTGGACGCTGCGAACTGCAGCTTTTGTAGCTGTTTTGCTCATAAGGATTCAAGAGTGCGTCTTTTCTGCGTTCAATTCTCGGGCATATTCAACGACCAAATATTTCGTGAACAATTTGAAACTGAATGGCCAGTCCTCCGTTGGAAACCTCCGCATGTATGGTCTGGGGTTGGAAGTAATCCGGACGTTTTATGGTCTGAACCCCAGCCTCTTCCGATGAAGATGCGGGCTTCTGTCCTATAGGCTCAGCTGGCTGTGCCCGGGTTTGCGCTTGCTGTTGAGTTGCAAGCTTCAGACCTGGCAGCATGGTCTGAATTCATGTGCCGTTATATTCACCTGGTGGTTCACGAAGTTGCTGCTGTAGGGGGCCCAGCTGTCCGTGTTTTTTGTTTTCCATGCTTTTGGTCCGAGGTTGAACGGAAACAACCAGTGACATTTATGCTATGGAATTGTCTCATTCGGTCTTGTCACCTCCTATAAGACATGATCCGTTGTTTGTCATGTTTTGCAAGAGGTATGTAGCTAAACATGCACGACTTTATTTTACCATTGTCAGCTGTCAGCGAAAAGCTCCGTTGCGACAGTTCTACGGACCCACATGCCTAGTGCACATAACATTGGGAGTCCATTAGTTTTCAATTCCAACCCAATTCACTCAGACTGCTGAACACAGGTTCTCCTTTCTGGGAAAATTCTGCTGATGGCCAGTATTATGACACCTCCATGTTGCATTTCAATCATGCTGAATTGCGCTGCATGAAATTGAGCATGAGATGCTTCACAAACCGTTTTTCTGCAGCTCTCACGCGAAGACCACAGGGCAAGGCCGCAGCCTCCTGAAGGTATAGACGGACCCTGAAGCCTGCAGTTTTCATAGTCTTCAACAGCCCGAATTAAAAAAGGCCCGGTGCGCAATGTAGCTAGGGCAGAAGGCGGGCCTAGCGCAGCGCAGTCACTCAGAACCTTGCCAGCATCAGGTGAGAGCCGACATCAGAGCTGAGAAGCAAACCCTTACAAATAAGAAAGGCTTCGGAAATCATGGGCTGCAAAGTTTTCTTTTCTGACAGTGAGTGCTTGCGGAATGGCGAATATTAGGAACGTTGCAGCGCTAGCAGATTCAAACACTGCTTGTGACGTGGGTCTTTGGCTGCTTTTTGGTAGTGGTTGTTCAGGCTTAACGCTTTTCAAATGTCGTTTTGTGCTGCGAGCGTGGGATTGCTTTGCGGCGATTGATTTGTCGTGTGCCCAGCTGCTCAAAAGCCTTTTAGCACAGTACCTGTCACCCGTCTGTTGCGCAATTTTGGAACCACATGTTGTCCATTCATTCAGCTTTGGTAAAATCAACTGGATGATCAGTGGCCACGCATCATGGCCATATTGTGTACCACAACCAAAGTTCTTCGTCTTCAGCATCTGGGTATGTAAGGTTGCTGTGACATAGAGTTATTACAACAGCTCTGGAGTGGTTAGTGTCCCAGTCTACAATCGCTCGACGAAAGTTCCTATAGCCGCGTTGCAACAGTCTCCATGAGTTTCCTGGGTGAAAGATGCACAAGTGCAAATTGTGCAACATGTGAGCAACTTGGGATGCATAGCCACTGCTCGTGGATCCATGAGCAGTGACGCCCACATCCGCTTAGATGAGTATTCAGCAAGAGTCTCAAAGCACAGGTGCTCTTCCCAGTATGCCCATGTTCCATGCTTCTTTGTTGCTCTCGAGGTTGATGCTTCATCCCTTCCAGACCATGCCCGTGAGGCAGCGAATGATTTTTCTTGTCTCGATTTGTGTCAGTCGCGCTGGTGGTTAGGCTGCTACAGCTTTCGGCCGTGATGGGCTTGTTCGGATCAAGAACATCTTGCCAGTCGAAGTGGCCGAGGTCCTCAGCACTTGGTTGTATGGTTTTCGTTTTGGTGTCGTGGGTCGTGGCCAGACGAGCCAGGCCTTGTGTGCACGAGTGCGTGAAGAGCTGAAGCAAAGACGTCATGAGGGTGACGCGGTGTATTTTGGTGACGTGTATGGCTATGAGGCCTCGTCTGTGGAGGTTGAGATGGGGAACATGTTGATGCATGGAAGCATGCAGGATTGCGGCCAACGATGGGATTTGAAGCTCCAGCTGTCAAATGAGGACCATCTTTTTGGAGATCCAGCTTCAGGCTTTACCATGCTTTCCGGCTAAATGCAAGCAGGTGAAAATTGCTCTTACCAGCATCTTGGGCCGTTTGCAAAAGGCCACCTTGAGCGAACACAGCCTTAAAGAAATACACCGGGGTCCTTTACATGAGAGGTGCTGGAAACGCTCCGCCCATCTTGGCAACTGACCGAATTGGCAGTGTCGCTGTCTTGTTTTCGTGGCCACTTCTGACGCGAAACAAGCCCATATTGCATGAAAGGCCATGTGCACATTTCCTTCAGATCCTGGACAGCCGGTGGATTTGCCTGATCATGTCGTCACACCGGCGTGAACGAAATGTTCGTAGTCAGGTCCATGCGGACACTTCACATGTTTACGACCAGCAGGCCCATATGCCAACTTTGCCCTGTCGTGTTTTCCTGTTCAGATTGATGCAGGTCGTAACGATATTCGTCGCACTGCCGCGTTTGTCTGCTTGACGCAAGGCTGAGTATGTACCCCAAACATTGTTTCACCTGCTCTAGCACTGGATTTGCACCAGGTCGCGCTGCACGACATTTCACCAGAGCCGTGTCCTTGAGCTGGTATTGATTGTTCCGGACTTCAACGCAGATGCCCTGAGGAGAGGTCCAACGAAAATGTACCCTAAATCTCACCTGGTCACGGGCTCGCTTGTAAACTGTTGCTTTAAGACATTACGTGTGTCCCCCCTCCGCGCTGAGGATGGAGAGCTCCATCTTGGAATGAAGGAAGTTCAGACCTGAGCAGGTGGCAATCAGATAGAGTAATGCTCGCTGCCTGACTGGTGAGGTTGATGAAGCTAGCGCCGTACTTTGTACAATGAACATGGGCGACTGTGCACCTGGCTGAGATACATGTGCATCCTACCCGCATCTCGCTGATATTGATGTACCTTGTACATAGGTGGTCATGGACAGCAGACTTCTGCATTGCGGAACTGCTAACACATCCGATCTGCCCGGGCCCCTGAGCCTACCAGCATCAGCAAGCTTAATCGTACAGCATGATTGTGGAGAGGTTTTCGCGGTGGGAGTGGGTGTTGGTGTGTGTTGTCAAAAATGATTCATCTGGAGGCATAGATTTCTCTTCTACACATCCTGGATGCAGCCAGCAAGAAGGTTCGAACACAGAGTGATTCCAAAGGTGCCATGCAGTGCAGTAGAAGAAGGTCGCGCGGGTCCACAAACACAATCCTACCGGAGTATGAGGACAGTCCATGCCAGAGCTTGGGTGAGCATTCTTGCTTAGCGCTTCTTGTGCACTTGCTCGACATGTTTGGCATTCATGCAAACGGGCCAGCCAAGTAATTAGTCTGCATCTGTCCATGAAGGAGCGCCTCTCCCTCCGAACTTGGCAGGATTGGACAGCTCCAGGATTTGAGTAAAAAGCCTGCTCAGGGCACTGTTGGCCAGTAGAAGGAGAGTGGAGTTGGCATTGCACCTCCCGCATCATCTGTCCATCTCATTTCTTGGCTCCAGCCCGGGTCGGCGGTCCGGCTGGGCGCCCAGCCGCCTGCACAGGCCAGGAATACTGCATTGCTTTGCGATACATGCGGGGGCGATGGGAGATCTGGATTTCTGGCAGGCCCTGCTTGGATCCGTCATTCCATGATGCAGGAGCTGGCTGAGGTAGGGCAAAGGGCAGAGCACACAACGCATTTGATGCGCAGGAGGGCCACACGCAGTCGCTGCAGCCTCTTGGCGCAGCACCGAAGGCGGCCGAGTTGTGAAGGAATTTTTATGCTGATTGCGACGAGCGGAGATGGCATGAGGCAAGCATGCGAAGTCGTCGTGCGGGAGCCGGTGGGGTTTTCCAGAGCTTTTCAATTACAACTCTTTTGCTCCATTCTGGAATCTGCTGCTGCAGGGATGGCCTTAGCTGGGCTAGGTCTGCTGGTCTTCAATCTAGCGGGTCTTTCTGAACTGTTTGTATGATAAATGCGGCTGAAACTGTGCGGTGCCTCTAACCTGCGTATGCGCGGCTGAACCTTTGATAAGCCAGGTCCACGCTTGTTCGTGGCCCCTCAGCCCGAGATGCTTGGGATTCCACGACAGGGCTTGGAGGCAGGGCTGTGCCTGGCTACCCGCCCTTGCGTTGACCCCAAGCCGAGGCCAGGGGAGATGCTGTGATCATGTGCGCCGCAAAGCCAGGCGGACCGCACCAGCCTTAGAGTTCACTTCTCATTGCTGGCAGTGCCTTTGCCCATCAGCTCAGGCCGGTGGATGTGACAAAGGAAGCCATGCCAGCTAGCACCATAAAGGTCAGGCCGCGCGCCTACATTTCAGTTGCTCAAGCTGATTTGCAGTAAAATTTGATGCTGGTATCAGGACCGGCAAGGGTGAGTTGACCGTTGACCAGCAGATGGATCGCAAGGAAAGAGTCTCCAGGCATGAGCCACCTGAATCTGCAGATGTGAGATAAGAAGACAAGAATCCAGGTGGCTCCGCAGCTTGAAGGGCAAGTTCGTTTACAAAGGCCCAAAGCCGTATGACGTGGACCAGTTCATCAAGGCTGAAACGAAACTGTAACACATTTGGCATTTGCTGTGTTGCTCGGGCTAAATTTGCGTCCTTGCTAAGCCAGGTCAACATTGCTGTGCCACTCGCACCTAAGCAGGCATCAAATACAAAGATCATGAACCAGGCCAGCCGCTCATGTTTAGAGGGCAGGTGCCACACTCAACATGCTTCAGGTTGTGGAAGAACTCCGACGGATCAGCGGCGTACATCCAGTCGTACTTGACTTAAAGAGACGTTGCTTATGATGACGCGCTTATGCGGTGGGCTTGTGCAAGGCAACCTATTTCAAAGCCAACAACGCAGATCTAGGATATCGTGTGGTGCGCCCTGCTGTTCAAGATTCTCAGGGACCATGTAGCCACCTCACCACGAATGTAGCTGTATTCTAGCATGCGCCAGGGAGATCCCTCCGGCGCGAAAGTCAATTTGAGAGGTCACCTGATGTCCGTTGCTTATCAAACTCAACACGGCAGAGAGATGCAGAGAGAGAGAGAGAGCAGGATTCGGATCAGCATGAGCCCGAGGCAAGACTTCCTGCAGAGGCTGAACACGATTGTTTTGCCTCGTGTGCGAGATTTCGAAGGCCCAGACTCGAACAGATTTCGAAGAGTGACACCGCATCGGTGCAGCTTTAGACCCTGCATGATTGCTTGCATTGGCGGCTTGTCTGAGCACAGTCGTAGGCTACATGATGATCAGTGAGATGTCGGTGCATAAAAGCACAGGTCGCGATAGGTCTAGGTGAGCTTCCATGCGGAACATGCAGGACTGGATCCGACATCTTTCAACAGGAATGCAAACTACTGGATGCACCTCCCCAGCCAGGACCGGGCTGAGAGGCGTTTCCTTGCTGCTTCGTTGCTCAGCCTGGGCGCATTTCCTAGGAGCCGTTCAACGAGCTTGATGAGCTTGTCGACTCGCGGGCACGCTCCACCGGCTTTGCCGGAATCGTGTGCTCCAGTGCTGCCTTCCTTGCAGGAAGTTGTCCACGGATTTAACATCCGCATCCTCAACAACTGTTTCACACAGTAAAAGCCCTTGCAGCCCATTTGCTGTTCATGAAATCTCGGTGCCTTGTTGCCAAGGCCGGATGCCTTGAAGCTGATGCAGGAGTTCGGTTTTCCATTCGGCGATCCCAAGCCGAAGCGGGTGGGACTTCAGCATTCTTCGCGTGAATTCTCGAGACACAACTGGCTTGCACTGCAGGAAAAGGCGCCCAGAGATCCGTACGCCAAGTTCAAGAACAAGGGCAAGGGCAAGAAGAAGCGCTAGGCCCCAGACCTTGCCTTCTTGGTCAGATCAGTACGAGAGTATGCCAGGACCGGTGCCACAGGCTGCATTTCACTGGCGTCTATTGCTGGTCCGCTGCTGTTTTTCGGTCTGACTCGCGCTCTCGGGTGCCGATTTGGAAAAGCCAATTGCCCTGCGAGTTGGCTTACACAAGGCTATCTTGAACGAACTTGCCTTTCAACAGCGAATGTTTTGACGGTCTGAGTGAAGGTCGTCCTGCCATAGCAGCATTCAGTGCAAAATTGTTCAACATGTGCATGGCTTGCAAGGTTGTCACTGTCATTCTACCTGATTCAGACATGATGTGTTTCAAAACAGTGAGCTTATGGCATGCTGGAAATGAAGCGGGCTTGTGAAAAGCCTTGTTGCTAAGCTTTCAGTACAATGGTGCACCTTCGAAACGCAAGTTCCATGGCCTCCGTGTCGCTGCGGACATGTAGAGGTTCTGCCTGCTTTTGCATGCATTTGACGCTTGACCGTTTGACTTGAATCAACCTAGCTTACTTTGTCAAGGCAATGCCCGCTATCACGGTCCAGCCATGAGGAGGAGCTACAGACTACAGAGTGTAGGCCACAGGAGATCGCAGGATCCATGGCTTTCAAGTGCAGGATTTGGAGCCTGACCTTCGTAGTTCTGTTCGCATACAGTGCCATTAGATCCCAGTTTGGACATCGCGCATTCTCCGTAGCGGCCTTGGGGGTGGTTTGTGTTGTCCTGCAAGCGAGGTTGATTGGAGAACGCTCAGGTCTCCTTTGTTCAAGGGCTTCGGGCCTCTGCGGTAAATCGAGCTCAGGCTCCTCCTGGTAAGATGGTCTCGTGGTCTCGCAACACTGCGTGTCCCGCCACTTGTTCTAGGCCTGGCATCACATGGCTTGCAGGGCCCAAAGCGAGGCGAGCTTTTTCGAAGAAGGAAAGGTGCACCAAAGTGGCCCGACCTCAGGACACGTCAATACAGGCAGAAGAAGAGCTTCGCCAGCAAAGATCCGCAGAGCGTGCAGCCCTCAGATGGAGCAAATGGGTTGAGATTTTGTCAAAAGCGTAGAAGGTGTCATCGTCGCGTCAAGACTTGGATACCCGACACCAAACACAGCATGTGACAAGTGAGCCCTATTTTTCAAACGCTTGATTGTTTTCACTTTTGCATAGGAAGGTTGCCTTCGGCAGGCACATCTTGATGGGTAGGCAAATTGCGTGGCTTACTTTGTGAGTAGCGTGCAAGCACTTTGAGCATACATCGCCTTGTAGATTTTGTTTGTCGAAATTTTGCCGAAGGCATATCCACGCTCAAGGCCGCAGCTGACAAGGCTTGGCTTCGTGCCTGCAAGGGAAAGCATCATGTTGAACTGCCCGCACGTTATCATGCATGACCAGCAACCCATTCTTGTAGAGCCGTCCAGGGCGACTTCGGTGAACTCTTTGCAGCTCTCGGGCTTCCACTTTGGCTAGTGCCGTTGATTGAGGCTCTAGTGACTGCAGCGGCAGGTTGTTTGGTTTTGCACACGTGCGATTCCCTCAATCTCAGCATCCGCCAGGTGGTGATTGCTGTTTTGGAGATTGCATTGGTATATTTTGGTGTGAAGCTGCTGCCGCCAGAGCTCTAATCTCAGCAGTCTTTTCTCCAGGCTTTCCCGCGACTTCCTGAGTGTAGCGCTACTTTTGAGGGTCCTAGGGCCTAGGGATATGAAAGAATTCTAGATTCTAGCAGTTCGTCAGCTAGCTTTTTTGAAAGCTCCAAGTTGCCTGTGCATTCTGACGGCTCAGGTGGTTCAATTTCTTGCCGTCGGAAGTACGGTGCCACCCCCAGCAAGACGACATCGCCAATATGTGAGAAACAGGGGAGCCTTCTCTGGGAGTCTCTCCTTTGGGAATCGAGTCATAGCGCGGAGCGAAGGCAGTAACCCTAGTGTTGAAAAATGCAATGCATGAAGTTTTTGTTGGCTGATATCTCGGCGGTGGTCAGCTGAGCTCAAAGAAAGACTGCCGAGAAAGGCGCCAAGGTAAATGCGTACGACATGTTCACTCCTCAAAAGCTCTCCACACAATAAAGCACATTTTGAACAATTATCATTTGGGTGCTGGTCATGAGACCGCTGAAATTTGAGTCAAGACATCAACTTTTCTCCGTTTCAAAATGGCCTTGAAGGATGGGTTCTTCCAAGATGCCTGGGCTTTTCATGATTTCCTGGTTGCACATCGTATGTTATTCAACAGCAGGTTCACAATGCACAGAGTCCATAATGTACTGCTTGGATCGAAGCAGAAGATGTAGTGTCATAATACAGACCCATCTACATGAAGGGGCCTCAAACATCATGGCAATTGTTGTCTTTCAAACGCTTTGGATCATATCGGCAAGCAGAAGGCGTTCCCTCCTTTGCGAGTTTTTGTGGTCTGGCGGTTGTCGACCTGCTTCTGCCTTGCGTCCGAACTGCAGACGTTTTGCACGTTTTGCTGGCTAGAACCAATGTTTTGCAGAGGTTGCTCAGATTCTCAAATGGCAGAAGCTTGTAAGAACTGACACAAGACCCCATTTCGGCAGAAGGTCCTTTTTGCAGCTCGGTGTGGACTCCACTCAATGAGAGACGAAGATAACATCACGGCTGCAATCTCGGTGTCAACTCAACCTTCATAGTCATATAGGCGACCTTCAACTTGTCATGCGGATCAACTGAGGCTCACTAGCTGTGACAAGAACGATAATGATACCTGCGCTTTCTCTGAGCGTGGCTCTGATTTTCCCATCGTTTGGCTTCATTCTGCGGAAAAAACTTTGAGGATACGTGTGCGGGCACCGGATCAGCTATGTGAAGAAATCATGATTGGTGCAAGACACGACCTTCATCTAAGGTTTGATGCTGTCCAAATGAACGATTGTTGACCTGATTGTGATGCCCTCTTTTGGATCAGAATCACCTTAGTCCGGTGTGCCCGCCCTCAAAGCAGATTTCAAGGCCAGCCGACCCTGTCAGCCGATGACTTTCCTGACCAATCAAGCAAGTTACAAAGCTCCAGAAATGTTGATTGTGGTCTTCAAGCCGCAAACTACTGAAATCCGCATTAGCCATACAAGTGCCAGGAGCGTTGTGCTGGTTGATCAGTTCGAAAGTTACAGCATGCTTGCTGCGAGTGACTGCTACCACGGTTCAGATGTTCTGCATTTGCGAACTTGACATTCCCACAACAAACCCGCGATGCAACCCGGGCGGCCACATCTAATGAGCGTCCTGTGAACTTGGTTGCAGGCGATGATGCACAAACGGCGACCAGGTTCGGGGACCAGCAGCATTATGCTTGCCTTTGCACTCGCAGATGTGCCTATAGAGGTCTCAGCCTGGCTATCACTCTGTCGCTCGTGTACCTTGCAGGCAGATCCCTTGAAGGGGTTTGGGATAGGAGGGGGGGCCATGTTCAAGAGGAATGCGGAAGTTCGAGTGTGCGAGACATATCATATCCCCCAAAACGAAAGCTAGAGCAGCTAGGCTTGATTTCTATTTTGCTTGGGCAGTGGTAGGGTAGAAGATAAGGTCTGAAAAGCTGCGAATATTCAATTGTATCACGGGATGCGGTGATTGTGAGATGGGGGGGGGGCGGGGGAGGCAGGGGAAGGGTGGGGTTGGGAGGGAAGGGGAGGGGGAACTGGGCGGGGAGGGCGTCGACGACATTTCTTTTACACCAAATGAGCTTCTCGTGGGGCGAACATTCTTCATTCTTACACTAAGTAGTCTTTGGGAGGGTCTTTTACTCATCAGCTCATATTTTTCCTTCTGGGTTACTTGACTTACTTGCGCCTTGGCCCATCGCTGCATGTGCTTGGCCGTGGCATGAATGACATCATACTTGGTAGTCGCATTAGACATCACCTATGCCTTCTGTAGTTCTGTAGTGTCAAGCACCACCACATGGTCATGTCACGAATTTTTCATGCATGAGTCCCTGTGTGGTGTTCCGATGTGTTCCGTACCCTTTCATCGTCATGGTACAAGTATCATCCTGCTTGGGTTGTTGTATCAAACTTCCTCTATTGTGTTTGCTACTGTTGCAACGGCATGAAACGAAGAACATCATGCCTAGCGGTTGCCTTAAACCTGCAAATTCCCTCCGAGTGTTCACCACCCTTGCAAGATCATGATACGAGTGGCATCATGCTGGTGTTTGCGTCAAACCTCCCGATTACGCTTGCATGGTCATAGCATGAACAACATTATGCCTGTTGGTTACATCGAACCTCCGTACTCTGTGTATAGTGTTCACTACCCGTACAAGGTCGTGGTAGGAGCAGCACTATGCCTGGTTGTTGCATCGATTTCTACTGCCTGGCGTGGTCATTGTGCAGATATTATTGTGCTTTCTCGTAACAATGCTCTTCTCTCTTCCTTTTGTAGCCAATTGCTCAAGACCTGGGTAGCTGTCATTGGCCTCGGCTTGCCCTTCAAGTCCTTCCAAACACGGTTGATTTGGTTCTTAACATCTGGCAACATACCTCGAAAAATACCCAAACACACCTAACCCAACCCAAATTTTGTGTGGCGGATACCCTTATCTTGGCACAAGCCCAGATAAGGTTCTCAAAGGCGACGAACAGCTCCGGCAAAGACACTTCTGGGCTTTTGGATTTTTTTCAAGCTTTGAATGTGGTTAGGACTGATTCGAGATGACAGTTTTTTTTTTTGACTGGACAGCATCATTCAGAAGTGAGACAGACATGGGAGCTTTCCTGGCAAATGGTCAGATTGGTCAGATGCAGAGGAAGGGACGGTGGGACTCAGTGAGGAGCAAACTTGGTCTGAGGGAAGAACGGAGCCCAGCAGCATTAGCTTCGTGGCAACTCAGAGTACGATGAGCGGAGGGAGCTTCGACAGGGGGACAATGTTTTTGGGCTGGTCCAGTGGAACCTGTGTTTGTTGTGGTGCCGGCTTCGCAAAACCAGCTGCCATCGAAAAGCTTGCAGGCTTGCAAGAATGTTGGACAGCAGCATCGTGGCAGATGCTTGAAAGGTCATGTTCTAGCGGCTGACTTTTTTTGCATCTTCTCCCGGCCTGACCAGCCCAAGCTAGTCGTTCCTTGCAGGGTCATGCTTGTGCTTGAGCTATATACACCAGGGATTAGATATTTGTATCCGTGGAATTCCAAGGGATTGTTGGTCTGAACGCTTGGCCACAGAGCTCAGCATGGCGTAGCGAGACTTGAATCGTTCAGTGGCAGCCGCAATGGCAGGATTCCTGTCGGCACCATTCGTGAACGTGTCCTCTGTGGCCTCGAGTGTTGTGGCCCGACGAGCTGCAGAGCCTTGCAGTACGATTCAGAGATCAGTTCAGAATTGTTGAAGGGCTTGAGACCGATTACGACTGCCAGGCACAAGCTGTGATTGGAGCATGCTGGACGGCCCTGCGTAAACCTGCACTTGCAACAGCTGAGGACAAGAGGCCGCCTCCTCGTGACTTGGAACCACGACTCAGCCCAGAAGATACCTATGAAATGCCACGGTGTCATTGGCATGTTTGAAAGGCTTCTCCTCTTTCATGCATATCTACCTGGTTTAGATGTTTGTTTGCCAGCTCCCTGCATGCAGCCTGATTTTAGATTGGAGGACGCCGGAAGAGGAGAAGAACATGAATTACTGGAGGAGTGTGAAGGGTAAGCATCAACTGCTTGGGAAGAGACATTGGAGGAAGCGTTTCCTGATGGGCCAGCCCTGCTCTGTCAGGAGCTCTTTTGATGACCTTCCGGCAGAGGACTGGCCGTCTAGCCTCCAACATGTGGTCGCTCTTCTTGATCCTGCGGAAGATGTCAGGAAAAACTTCAAAGCCCGCTCGTGGTGCTGGGCTTCTTCCTTCTACTGGCACCTTTCGTGGGTGGAATGTATCTCTTGGCGGCCCTGTCATGTGTTGAAGTAAGCACGGCTTACCTGAGCCTTCTATGTATGCAATTGCTTTGATGCATTTTTTCTGGTCTTCATGTGGGAAACGTCCCTGACCCATGCTGGCAGGTGAATGGTGGAGGCTTAGATGATTGATTCCAGAGGGGCAGAGTTCGAAGCTCCTACTTTCTCGACTTCTCATAGTCGCAGACTTGAGTTGTCCACTATGTCTCACACGAGCTTTGCCGCGCCGTTGATATGTACATGGAGCAAGGTTGCAACTCTTGCTGGCAGCGTCAGCCGGTCGAGCAGATGGCCATTGCAAGAAGTTTCGGCTATCATGCAATTCGTTTCTTGAATACTGATATGCTTCATCGAAGTGTTCTCACGTCTGTTAACAAGGCAGTGCTTCAGGCTTCTCGAAAAAGCTTTCTGACGACTCACGACTGTGCGTTGGTGTTGGCAGTATTGGCATTTGAGACAACCACAGGGTACTCTTCCAACAGACAGCTGCATCTGTTCAAGTTGGTTCCTTGCCGTCAAGTGCATTGTTTGGTGCTCTTGGCCATGTCGTTCAGCACTCAGATTCATGCACCATACCCTCAAGCAGTTTGAGCGCAGCATTTAGCTGTAGGCCTTCCTCGATGGCTGACAGCGGTGACGGGAAAGCTACATACATGGCTTTACTCTCAGTCGTCTGCAAGTTGACCTACCCCAATGAAAGTCCAACTGCTCTCTGCCCGAGCAGGATTTGGTCATACCGGAGCACGACGACAAGGCGGTGGAATTGTGCACTTGCGCACTGATCGTGTGGGATCATGGTGGGCCTTTGCCATCCCAGGCACTCCATCAGCTTCTGGACTCCCTGGGTCTGCCCTGACTGTTTAGGTCAAGTCAAGTTGAAGCCAGCTTGCGAGCTGGTCTCGATCCTGCATGGCAGGATCCGCCAGTGCGCTTCCTACACTCTTGCCTCAAGGCAGTACCCTGCAGGATCAGGCTCTCTTCTGGACAAAAGCGATGCCCCAACTTGCCAGGTTGGGACAAGGCCTCGGCATTGAAAAGACTTTCGGATCATCTAGCGCCATCAGCTGAGAATGGGTGGAAGGCTAGTGACATTTCAGGTGCATGCGGGTGCACCATCTCAGGTTGATTGATTCCGAAATCAGCAGGAAACTGAAAGGCCGAGACTCTGTTGTGACAGTAACACACACAGCATCGGTTTGTTGGGTAGGTCTGGATGACTTGAACTCCCACCTCAAGAACTTGCAATCGCAAGTGCATGCCCGAGTCCAATCAATACTGTATTCTGTGGAAGCGCTAATCCTTGCATGCAAGCCTTTCTGTCGCCGATGGTTTTCAATTGTTTGAAGCTGGGGCTATGTATGTCCACATGAAAGAAAGCATGGGACACGGAGGGACTGGAAGGGCACTGATGGCCTCGTGACGCATGAGTTCAGTGGGGCGTAGTCTAGGTCTTCTCACCCTGTAGAAGCGATATTATGACGGCTGAGATTGTGAGGGTGATGCCGTTCATTGAAGGGAGGAATTTGCGCCATTTGGAACTCGTCATGTCTCTAAGGAGAGGACGGACATGCAGGCTGCAGGTCTCTCACTTAGCCTGCTTTGCCTTCCTGGCTCTTCTCGAGTAGCGCCTCAGAGTGGGGTAAGGTGCCAACCCCGTATCGACATCGGAAAGGGTGCTGGAGGCTACTTCCGTGCATGGTCCCACGTGAGCTTCTGCCTAAAGTCCATGAATGGGAGTTGCATAGGGCAGTATAAAGGGGACTGCTATGGGGGCTATCAAGGGGGATACTAGGAGTTTAGACTATGGCTAATGTGAGCTATTGAAGCTATTGTCAATGTTGGGCTTGCCAAGGAACCATTAAGGGTGGACAGGGGGTCCGGTAGTTTAGCATAGTCCGTAATACATTCCTCGCCCATGTGCATTAACTATACTGGAAGTGTTTGTTGTAGCTCATGTGATGCGTCTGCAGACGCCAGTGTAATTTATGCCAAAGAGGTCAAGCCACCGGAGCTAGCTGCAACGAGACGTTTGGCTGCAATGGGATTTCCGGTGGACCTGCCTGTGCAACGTTCAGGGAGCTGCGTAGCATTTGTGGATCTTCAGGTGCCAGACCTGGAGTTGTGGGTGGTCACTCCACACCCCGAGTGTATCAAAGCAGCTGGGACGCCAAGAAATAAATTCGTTTAGAAGTCATGTGTTGAGCTCTAGAACATTCTAGCAAAGGTCACCAATCTCTTGGGATGACTCGACAGTTCTCGCCTGCACCGCAAGTCGCATCACCCGGTGTAGTGCCCTTACGCGCAGCCTGGCCTTGCTCCTGCGCTTGTGGGAACGTATGCAGGTCATTTCGCAATGGCAAGTCGTCCCTGCTGTCCCGGCCTCCCGACTGTACATGGCTGCAGCGACAGTTTGCCGACTTTGGCCATGCTAAGTGCAGCCTGGCTGCAGGCTCCGCAACACTTACAGCAGCCGCAGCGGTTGCAGCGGCTAGCGCCCTCTGACTCAGCACTGCGCAGCACTGCGCAGCAACCAGCTTGAAGAGTGCGCTGACAGCTGGCACACGCACGAGAACCAGAGGTCTGCTCCGGCTGGCTGGCGTGCCGTGCAGGCTGTGCAGGCATGTGCGCAAGAGTAACGGGGGATAACGGGGGTTTGCCGCAACATCATCTGAAAGGCTTCAGCGCGGCCTTGGCCTGGTGCGACGCTGCTGGGCAGCGGTCCCCAGAGGCTTCTTCAGTGCACTTTGCAAGCATGTTGCAGATCGTCAGCTTTGTCAGGTACACCCTAAGCTCGGCAGACGTACGTTCCGGCTCCGCAGGCCGACCAAGTGCAAACTGATGTGCGCTGTGGTGCAGAGATGCTGCAGGTCCGGCGGCACGTATACAAAGTCCAGGAGCTGTCCTTCAGCCCCCTCATGGACTGCACGGCGTGAAGCTCATTCACTGGTTTCTGCCGTGTCCGATTGGACCGATAGCAGCTGAGGTGCATTTGTCGCACCCGCACCTGGGAGTCCAGTTGTGGTGACTTCTGTGCTCGCGTCTTAGTGTGCGTTGTTATTTGAGCAGTGCTGACATCGCTGACGCTGCATCGAGGCGGGGCGGTTCACCGGTGCCGCAAGCCAGGTTGGACTTTCGAGCGCAGATCAAATGACAGCTACGACAGCCGGTCTGTCACTCGCAGGTCCCGTTGTGCAAGTCCACAGGCTGTGGCAGGTGCTTCTTGCTTGCGCTGAGATCCAGGACTGTTTCACACGATACCGTGCAGGTGCGGCTGTGCCTGGAGTGTTCGCAAGGACACCAAGGCTGCGGACGTCGATGATTGGTCAGTTGCGTTGGAAGTGTTGGTTGCGGTGATCGCCTGTACAGGAGTAATGCGCAGCCCTCCCGGCAGCAACAGCCTTACGCCGAAGGATCGCAGGTTAAGCTTCACAGTGTCTGCGCCAAGGTGGAACCCACAAGCGGCTCCTTCTCAGGAAAGTGTTGCCACTGCACCAAATTACAAACTACTTGCCTTGATTTCTTTTGACAGCAGGTAAGCTCACGCTTCATCCTCGTGACTCCGCAAATGGAGGCTTGTCTGTTGAAAGCTTTTACAGGAGCTGACTACTGTCTGCCCAAGCTCCAGGCAGTGCACCCTGGAAGATGCGTGACCCCGCGGAGGGTACCTTCACGACCACCAGCAGGCAGTCCCCTGATAGAAGCTCCCGGTTCAAGAGCGGGTGTTTGCAGGAGTCCCCAGTCGAGTGTGTCTCGGCGTGCATCAGTTCTGGACGTCTGTGAAGGCATGGAGCAGAGTCTCTGATCAGGCCGTTTCCTGGATACACGCCGCGGAGATGAGTGGAGCCAGGCTAGGTGCACCCAAAGCAGGTTTGGGTAGCCAGAGCGAAGCTGTGGCCACTCAACAGTCCTAGTCGCATGGCCCTACTGCATACCGCCTTCAGCAGGATCAAAGTAGAATGTCCTGCACGCTAACGAGCTATGCATGGCCTTCGGAAAAAGAAACTTATGTGAAGCTGCTTCGGTGATCCTCCGCTTAGCCGGAGATAGAATGCTGCCACAATGTTACGCAGAAATCATAACAGCCAGCGGATGAGTTTTTCCTGGTTAGATGAAGTTGTACGAGCAGAGAAACTCTGGAGGTGATCTGGTCGATGGTGTCAAGCATTGAGATAACGTTGTGGAGTAGTTGTGGTCGTGACTTAAGATCATCGCACCTCCGGGGGATTATTTTGCAACAACGCATTTTTGATTATGGAGGCAAAGCGAGCCTTTTGCGAGTAACAATTTGCCAAGTCTGATTTGTAGCGCCAAACAGCGCCCTCAGGTTGGGTATCTTCCAGCCTGTGGACTAACATAGCTGCAGCTCGATTCTATCCTACCCACCTGCAACTCGAGGTTGTAGGTTCGAGAAGCTTCTGTTGCGACTATACCATGCTTTGCAGATCATAATGTCTTGCTTTCATTGCAGCCAAGCTTTGGCTCAATCATGTTGAGTCCAGCGATTAATCATGGCATGAACTTGCCAAGAGTTTCGAGAGTGCGGGGTTCATTGTCCAAATGCAAAGCAGCCAGGGAAACAGTTAATATTTCAAAAAGCATTGTACCGCAATGCTGCGGGACAAATCATCGGCAAGGCACGACATTTCAAACAGTTGCACGTCTTTGCATCTTTTCACAGCAAAGTCCAGCAGGTGGGCCAGTGAATCCTGCACTCGTGCATTGGTCACCCGGCAAAGATGCTTCTTGTGAAGAGCAATGAAGATGAGTTGCGACACTGCCCGAACAGGTCAGGGCGAAGCGGGTGGCGATCGTGATTGCCGTCGCTGCAAGTTTGAGATCCATCTCTGCAGCAGGCATGACTCCAAGCCCAGTTCGCAAGCACATAGCATCACACAGCCAGCCGCATGATCTGCCAGGATGGGTTCATGGCTATGGGAAACCGGACTTGGCCTTACTCGCTTCTGTACCAACTTGATTCCAAGCAATGCTGCAGCATGCATGGCATCCCGCCCAGGCAAATATGGCTGCTCGGAGAGCTGGCCTGAGCATCCATAGCTCTTTGTTTGAACGGTCATATGCGTTGTCGTCCTAGGCGCTGGGCTCACGCAAGCTCGTGTGCAAGTAGGGGAGCCAGCCTTCAGACCAGCTTACGGTGCTGCTGGCGTGATCATTATTTTCCGCAGTGTCCTGCTTTCTAATGGCCTAGTGCCTACAGTATGTTGCCCCAGCCAGGCTTTGAGCGAGCATCCCCACTGGGACCTCGACCACAAGAGGGAGAGGCAGAGATTTCAGCTCGATGCAGGCTTCAGGCAAGTGAATCTATGTTGTTGAAGGCTGTTGCTGGGCTTCGAACGTGGCTCAAGCACATGGGTCTCGAGGTTCTTCACACTGAGTCCAAATTGCCTAGGATGTTTCGCGTGTCACTGTCCAGCAGGACCATTTGCCTGCCGCAAATGCTTGGTGCGAAGAGATGGGCTCCGGGCCCTAGGTTCCGCGGGGCACAGAATTGTTTGGCTCCCGGGCTTGGCACTCAGGTGCCTCCGTCATGAGCGAAATTTTGGAGGATCTTGATGACTTCGTAGAGGTGAATGTGTTGGCAGGATTTGGATGGCAACGATCTGCATGCTAGCTTGCTGGCAGGGCATCGACATGAGTGAGGAGGATGCGGAGACTTTAAAGAGGCTTTGGCCCTCAGCCGAACGGTTGGTCTAGCTTTGAAGACTGCACGCTGCCAGGCGCGGGAAAGTGGCTTTGTCAAACCTGTACCAGCGCGGAGAGCCGGAAGCTGAGGAGCTGACGACCCTCCGACTCGGAAGCTGTGAAGCTAAGGATCCTCGAGCAGAAAGCTGTTGTGGATTCCGAGGAGGAGCTTTTCACAGATGCCAGCTCCATGAGTCCTACTTGCACAAGCTTGGCTCCTGAATGTGTATCTTTCTTCTAGGAGTTCCAGACATCTGGCCGGACGTTCCTCAAGAAGCCCCCTGCTCAGAATATGGCAGCGGGTCGCAAAAAACCATTGGTACCTATCCTCTGGAAAGGCCGATGAAGAAAGCAAAGTAAGTTCAGCCTGGCCTGGACAACTACGTCAATCACCTGCCTCCGACAAGCTCACCGCCTTCATGACAGCAGCCAGTAGAATCCATTGGCACAAGGTGAAGAGCCTGCTGCAAGAAGCGCTACTACCCCGTTGCTTCCCTCGCCAACCCTTGTGCAGACCAATTCCAGCCGGGCTGTCAAAAAGACCTAGCTGGCTCTTGCACCAGTCCATGCGAACAGAAGTGTTGGAACGCCGCATGAGCAACTGCTGTCCTATCAATCCATGGCCGAGACCAGGCCTTTTTTTCTCATATGAAGACAAGTTTCAGGTTCAACATTTGTATACGGGACATTTGATCGCATCTTTGGCTTCAATGCACCGGAAATCATCGAGGGTACCTACATGTTCTGCTTAGCGTTTAAGATGGGACTCTGCCTGCTTCGGGACACTGTGAATTCAATATTTGTCGTGCTGTGCGGAAATGTCGAGCGCTACGCTGTGCCACCCTGCAGCCGGCAGCCGGTGTGCGATGGCCTGGCCAAAGAGCTGGGTGCCCTGAGATTCTTGGCTGCTTTGAGGGTGGGAAGTGGGAGAGTGCAGACATCAGTCAACAAGAAATAGCGTTCATCATGGTTGAACGGAGAAACCCTTTGGGACAGATGGCGTGAGCGAGAGAAACCAAGAGGCAGTGGTGATCTCATTTCACGCTACAATTTTGCCGAGCGAGCTAGGCTTGAGTTGCTTGTAACATGTTCGATTTTATCAGTGGTAGGGTCAGACTGCAAAGCAATGATTCTACTACAGGTTGGAGGAGGGGGTCGACATTTAATTGTTTCAATTGAACTGAGCATCTTGGTTGGAGGGAGGTAGGGAAGGGGAGTCAAACTTCTTCTTTGATGGGAAAGGCAGCCTGAGGGGCCTGAATGGTGGTAAATTCAAGCCGGAACCTCCGAAGCCCTACACCATACAGAGCCAGAACACAGCCCTACACCCGTCAGCCTGATTTCAAAGTTGTAACATGTGTCCATGTGGGTCCTTATTGTTTAATTCTGTTGCGGGAAATACTAGACTTTGAGAGTGCCTATGTGGCTTCAACTTCAGCAAAACGTCTCCAAGATTGAGGGCGGGTTGAAAAGGACGTTCAGCTTGGCGTAGACGATCTTCCCAGACAAGACCATAATTGTAATCCCTGTGTAGCTGCAAGGCACAGAGTCCGAAATCCACCAGCTTGTAAAAGTTTGCCATAGTGTTTGCACCATGTCAGGCGGCTGTTCAGTTGAATCCCCCTGAGGTCATCAGTTCCTCAAAATGGTAGCTGAAAGGAGGCTCAAGTGTTCCTGACCTAAGCAGAACTCCTTCATGCCAGGCAGTTGCTCAACTGAGCCTTGTTCAGAGGCAGGCAAGTGACAGGGACCAAGCAAGGACGTGCGGGCCATGCAGCAAAATAACTGACACTTGTTGGTCAAATCTTGGGTCGATTCAGCTCCGTTGATGTTAGGCACTTCTTGAAGCAGCAGACTTTGGCAGACTTTGAGCATGCCCCTGGTGGCTACATAAGCCATTTCCTCCGGTGAGGTAACTTTGTTGAGTGGTAATGATACTTATTTCGCTGCCCCACTCCCCTTAAGCATCAGTGAGCAAAGGGTGCCATGTCTGCTGCTTGAATTGCAATTGACCTTTAATCAAGTCGGCGCAGATCCGGAAGGGCATTTGGGACGTTGTTGCTGTGACCTGCAATTGTTGTGCTTGTTGAGGTTGTGGCTCTTTCTGTGGTTAGTCTGTCTTGTGGAGCGGGCTCATTGGGAATCGGGTCAGAGATGTAGCTAGTCTATCAGCATGATAAGGTTGTATCAGAGGTGAAGGCACCCTTTGTGGTTGAACTAAGCTTGGAGAGCTTGAGCTTGGGGCTTCCACGTTTGCCTTGATGGTCCCCATAGTCCACAAGGTTACAACTCATTGTGCAGGTTGATGATTTTCTTTGGCATCTCGTCTGGGATTTATTATGCATTTGTCTGCAATGTTGAAAGCAACTGTGGAGGCTCCATGAGGAATAGTTCAACAATATGTCATATTACATGTATGACCTGAGCATATGGACACGAGCTTGCGAAGGCTGAGTGAGACGCAGAGTTTCGCAGTCTGGAAACCTGTTATTATGAAATTTCAAGATGCCCATACACCCCAGCATTCATGTAAGCGTGTACCTCCACAACTTGCAGAACTTCCCAAGACCGAGGTCTGAAATCTCGACATTGCTTGCTATGCTTCCAACATTCGGTTTCCGAGCACACGCAACATAAGGACATTAATACTTTCACCAAGGGAACGTACTTTGTGCAGAGAAGTGCATTTCTGGAATAGTTAGTTGCTGTATTACAATTTCTAGGAACGAACTTTCAAAACATCAGCCTTCCACCGCTCTCCTCAGGTAGCTGCACTCAAACATTGGCTGAGTAATTCAAATCAGCAAATTCCGGAGTTTCAACCGTGACTTCATAGTTCCACATGCCACATACTAGGATGCAGAAGAGGACGTGTAAAAATCCAGCAGTCCACTACCGCTGACTCTGTGTTTGGGCTCTTCTCAAGGGGTTGTCCAGAGCCCTTGCAGAGCACTGCTCACTGCCATGTACATCATACGTAGCATGTGATGTGAATTTGAAGTGTACCTTGATGTACCTCAAGCACCCTCACCTCCCCAGGGATTGACGATGCTTCAACTTGCTGAAGCTTCCTGTAAGAGACGCTGCTCAGCAGCACCCGTAGAAGGGCTGTCCAATTGTGTCAGTTCGGAGATTTGATGGCCAGTTGTTGATTGACATGGCGAGCTTGCAGCGCAGTGTTGGTTGGAGAGGAAGTTTTTGTTCGGGGATTCTCCGTGCGAGCCCTTGTCTCATGGAGATGCCTGACGCCTCGTGGAACATGCAAACATGCAAAGCTCCCTCGCCTGATGCTCAGATGACCTGTGGACCTGCTGGACGGTACAGATGTTAAATCGGCAGTTGTCCACAGAGAGCCTGTGCCTTGATGAACGAGGCCTCACCAGTGGCAGGCAGGGTCGGTTTGTTTCCACTCAGCGTCGAGCCAACAGATATTGAAGTGTTCCCAGGCTTTGGGGAGGCCGGGGCAAGTGCAAAGCTGCACAATGACTTCCCTGACTGTTTAGTCAGCAATGTCTCACCAGGCGCCTGGAAGTCCCAGCGGGTTTTCAGCTGCAGGCCTTCTAGAAGTCTGCAGTGGTCTCTTAATTGGGTACATTCGGCTGCCGCGCGACATGCCTGCAAGAGAGGTCTACTGGAAGCTGGATCGCAGTCGCCAGTCATGGCCTCCAGGGATTCTGCGACGCATGCGGAATTCGCTGTGATTTGCAGCCCTCAGGTGTCACAGGCGTTTTCCAGCGTGCGGCAGAAGAGGCAAAACTCCCCTCTGAAGAAACTTGGAGTTCACATCCGAGCTGTCTCTAAGTACAAAAGCCTTTCAGACTAAGTGCTCAATCACGTTGACCCAGGTTGTGACTCCAGCCAGGCATTGTTGGACTCGCGTGCCTTTCTTTACAAAGTGGATCAACAGCTTATGTGTGGATGACCCAGGCTGGGTGACTCCCATAATGCTCTTTACTGGCAGTTTGGGCACGTTGGTGGATTCCCTGCCGGGTAGCTGTCAGTTTGCAGGCTTGAGTTTGGTGGATGAGAACACTTTCTTCGAAGACTTGAAGACCGGGCTTGTGCTGTGCAAGGTAGTGGAGAGGACCGATGCGGAAGCCAAGTTGGTCTCTTTTTTTTGCGTACAGAGTCGCGTGCAGGCTGGTGCCTGGTGTGGACTTGACCACGAGAGGGATCTACCACAAGCCCCGGACGCGTGGCTGACCCTGCAAAAAAGAGGGAAGGCAAGACAGGAGCGGAGGCCATCAGAGAGTCAGGTGCAACTTGCGTGGCTAACATCGTGTCTGCCTCAGCGGACGCAGTATCGCAAATCATTATCTCTCCTGCATATTCGAGATGAGGACAAGGCGCTGACAGTGGCTTGGCGTACCGGAGCCAATCTGGCTTGTTGCTCTTGAAGTCACTTTTCTAGTCCATGATTCCAAAGGCCTTTGCCCCAATGCTGGCCCAATGCCAGGTCAATGCGGGCCACATGTGTTCCGCGGATGACATCTATGACTGCAAAATCACGGCAGCGCTTTGGCTCGGCTTTGCTATGAAATGCCACGGTAGAGCCTCGTGCTATCTCATCTCATGCTTCTTTTTTGTCATCTGTCATGTAATCGGTGTGGATTTTTGCTGACTGTTTGGTGTTTACATTCTGTTTAGGTCACTCGGTGCATCTCTGAACTCTTTGATGCCCTTCAGATGCGCCTGTGCCGCTGGCTGGACTTTGCGTTGCATTTTTTGTGTCAGGCTGTGTTGTGTGCAAGCTGCAGGCGCGAGGTCCGGAGCCGATCCCGAGACATGCTGACCTCCATGAATGCACATCTTGTCCCACTAGGCTCTTGATAGCTCTTGGAGTGCTTGGAAAAGCGCTGTAAGAAAGTTGCCTGTTCGGAAGGTTGCGGCCTTTCGGACCTGACCTTGGCTGATCCCTGCCAAAACTGCGACGCCCTGGTCGCAGACTTCGCTGACTGCACCAAACTTGTGGCCCGGATCCTTGTTCCGGATGTCCTCCCACTGGCAGCAGCATCAGCAGCTCAGCAGCAGCTGGCTGCCGCTCTTGAGGCCCTTCTCGTGAGCACTGGCAAGGCTTCAGTCGAGGCAAGGAGAAAAAGTTGGGGTTGGCTGGAGTTGGGAGGTGTTTGTCGCCTTGCGTGCAGGATCTGCTTAGCCTCGCACACCGGGAGCAGTCCGCCGTCATGTTGGAGTCTTTTCAATTTCTAGGAACCTGCCCTTGCGCATTGCATTGCGTTGCGCATTGCATTGCACGATGACAGGACTGCAAAAACGCAGGGCGATCAACTGAAAGGTTTGCTGCAGGAAAATGGTCGCATTCTAAGCCATAGCCTCAGTTGAGAGTAGCAGTATGGGCCCGTAGGCATTTTAGGGGGATTCTAGGGACCCTTGAGCCTTAAGGGCACATGTGTAGGGTATATAGTAGGTACTTAAGGATCCGAGGTTAAGGGCCCGCAGTAGGGACCCATGGTTTCAACCCGTGAGCTTGTGGGCACGCAAGGTGACCTTCTGGAAGCAAATGGATGTGCCGTTCTACTTGGTCCAGGCGAGTTTGCAGATCCACCTTCGCAGGGAGCTCAGAGGAGAGCAGTCTGCCATCTGTCTGCGCTGCAACTTTCTAGATTCCACGTCAGGCCCTTTCCGGACACGATCTTACTTCAGCTCCACATCATCTGGTAAGCTTTCCAGCTTGGCATGGCACAGGGCATTGGTTCGCGAAAATGTATGTGTTGCCAGGCGCTGTGTGAGTGGCGGAGGTGGCCAAGCAGTGCCTGCCAGCCCTGCGCTTGCTGGTGGCCCAGTTGGGGGCCATGTATTTATTTATCATGCGTTGGCGATGGCAATAGCTCTCATCCAGGCAAGTCCAGGAGCAAACTCAGCGTTTTGGGGTGCATCAGGCCTGTGGGACTGGTTACTGCTAGCATGCCACCAGTTCGTGGACGCCATTTCATGTAGAGGCCACGCAGATGAGCTGCAGGCGTGGATGCAGGTAGTGCCTGACACTAAGAGCTGACTCACTCATGAAACATTCTTCTACTTTGCTCTCACATTCACAGGTCAACCCACTTCACTTCGCTTGAGGAGGCCTTCTGGAGCTGGTGCAGGGAGCCCTGTTGCCAACCTGAGGGCTCCAGGGCAGTTGTGTTTTGTGCCACAAACTATGCGATGTGCGCTCGCAATCCGAGGCGGGAACATGTGTGGCCGGATGTCACAGGCCGCCTTTTTGCGCGCCATGCGGGAGCTCAACTTCCAGGGCGATTCCAAGCTGGTGTGGGCGAGCGCCCCAGTCACCCCAGTCCAGTGGAGCCACGTGGATGGCTTTTGCCTGGGTTGAATGCAAGGACACGTTGAACCGCGGCGTTCCTGGATTCATAAGCCAGGAGGACGTCGTGGACTGATGTTTGACGCAGTGCTCAGCCTTGCAACGCAAATCCTCAGTGTCAGGACTTTGCCAGACCCGATTTGGAGGCGCTCTTTTCCAAGGCAGGACCTCGCCCGCCCGTCTCGGCTGTTCGGTCGCAGTTAGAGGTCTTGCAGACGAACCTGGACATGGAGGGGGAAGCGGAGGGCGAGGAATTGAGGTGTGCCACGCTGCCTTCATCACTCGGCTATGCCTGTTGACTGCTTGTTTCCAGGGTTTGGACTAGCGAAGATGCCCTGGTAGATGTTGCGGATGATGGTGATGCGGTTGAAGCCCTGCGCTTGATTTTTGCATGTTTCTGCACATGCCTTGCAGCAGCATTATCGGACGATCAAGGTGGCAGCCGAGGACTTCAGCACTGAACAATGAACAAGCCAATCTTTCTGTCCACTGTTGTACAAGCTTCCTGAATTGAAGCCAAAAGCGCATCAGCAGGAGCTTGAGCAAGGAAGAGCTGAGGACCAGGCCTTCTGTGAATCAATCTGGCCTAGGGCTCCGGTCTGTCATGGGATGGATGTCCCGAGCATGCAGGTGTGATGAGGTCTGCGTGTTTTTCCTTTGCAGGATGTGGCAAATGCTGCTGAGTCAATTTCCTTTGTCGAGCTGCCAGTGCTGGCATCCGAAGGCACCTGCACAGCTGATGCCCCAGCCCTCCCGCCTAGGCTCCCAGGCCTGGGCTGGCTGTGTCAGGACTGGACATGGATGAGTTGCTGGCAGCCTGCCGTCTGGTTGCTGACGAGGCAACTTAACGTTCAGATAAAAAGCATTGATTGATTCTGTTGCGCAGGACCCACGCCTCTCAAGCGCAAGTGAGGAGCGCTTGAGGCTCGCCAGCGAGGACAGCAGCAAGTATGGCAGTATGGCAGTATGAGGAAAATGTTAGGCCCTAGAGCAGACTCAGCCTGCCTGTATAGGATGTCCGCCGGCAACAAGACCTGCAAGAGAGCGGTGCTGTGAGCACATCAAGACTCGCGCAGGACTTGGTGGCTCGAAAAACAGTCCCATCTCCATTGCATGACCTGCGCGCGACTAGATCACTGATGTCTCAAGGTTGCGGCAGCTGGAGCAGCTGCTGCAGGCGCAGTATCCTCAACCGTGTCGCTGTCACAGGCACCTTTACGAAATCATTAAAAAAATATTGGAAACTGGTACCGGCTAGATTTGAGCACGTCCTTGGTCGTGACGGCAGGCCTGGGAGCTTGGCGCTTCGGAGCCGGTTGCAGGAGGTCTTCCAGATATTCCCTTGTTCTCCGATCTGCAGGCCAGTTTTCCAAGATTCTGGATCGCAGACAGAATCATGCGAATCATGCCCAGTCAGAAGCTTCCTTGCCACGAGTCACCCCCAGGATTGAGAACAAAGTTTTTTGGCAGTTGGAATTACTGAACATCAGTCAGTAACACCATGTATCTAGGGCTCTGCTGAGCCATCGATTTGCCTGAACTGTTTCTATGAATTCTCCGAAATCACAGAAATCTCGAACATCTCTGTTTCCAGAGAATACCAAAGGTTGCGCCACTAGCCAACATCAGCAAATAGCAAACATTCATGAATCATTACTTAGCTAAATTCAAGACCCATGTGCAGGTGGGTTCTATACACCAGATCATACCCCTTACATATCACACGTGTTTCGCATAACGTATCAGTGGCTCGCCGTTTACGGCCGTAAAAACGCGGATTACGATCGTAAAGCGGCCGTTCACTACGCTACAACAACAATTTACGATCGTAAAACGGCCGTTTACGACCGTAAAATTGCCGTTTACGACCGTAATTCGAAGAATTATATGATGCGCATTCCGTTTTGAAATGTTTTGAAATGATACGCATGCCGGGGCTTCAACGCCGTTGCCGTTGCGGATCGCGGACGTGGATCGCGGAGGATCGCGGATCGCGAGCGCGCTTCCAGGATGCGGACCGCGGATCACGGACGCGGACTGCGGACCGCGGATCGCGGACGCCGATTACAGACGTGGTTCCCGAACGCGGACCGCAGACGTACCGCATCCAAACGTCAACAAAGTAGCGAACAGCATCCACAACAGCTGTCCAATTCAGAACAATTGCAGACATCCATGAAATTCTTCAAATCGCCCACATCCCAACCTTATGACACATCATCACAGTTTGGAAGCCCCGGAGTTTCGCATATGATGTCTACAAAACAGGATCTCAATGCCTGCAGAGTGTTTTGTTTCTTTTCGGCTCTTGCGGCTAATTATCATGGATTGTGCAGATTTCTTGGACCATCAGTTGGGAAGTATGGCGATTTTGACGCTACTAAGGATTTCTGGGATATTCCTACTCCTATTGACTGCATATTTAGGTGATCTGGAGCAGAAGGTGATTTTGGGGATTGGGCTCTTTGAATCATGTTAGTTTTGGTTAGTCACCACGAAGCTCCCCTAAATCCACATTGTCCACCAAGTCAAGAAGATTGGCATCATGATCCAAAGTCCAAAAACGAGGAAACCTAAATTCACCAGAAATCAACAGAACTCGCACCAACCGCTGGGATCTAGGACTGCGAGAATTTGTGAGGAGAAGAAAGGTTATTACGTTGATCAACGAAAGGATGGATTTGGTGTATGAAGATATGGAACGGGACGGTTTTGCTGACCCAGCGCAAATTGCAGGCTTCTCATGATTCTTTGGATTGCGCAAATTCGCGGGGAAGGGAATTAGACTGGTGGCGCGCCAGCCTGAATAGCTTGTTCTTCTTCAGCGTCTCTCTAAAACGACAGGCTCTATGGACGGGTGGAGGGCGGCCCCTACATTGAAAGGGGCATTCTTCATCAGGAAACACGGACATTGCCCCACAGTCGTGAAAGTCACCGTCAGCCCAAAAAGCTTTGCGACGGTGAACCACACAACCCGGGGACTGGCCTAGCCACAACTGCTACTTCAAGCAGTCTCTTGCACTAGCGCATCCACAATGGTTTGGATTTCCATGATCATTCACTGTGTGAGGGGCAACCCCTCTTTGGAGGACAACCCCCTCAGCAAGCATTGCTCTAATTACTGGATCAAGCACAGGCTCTGTCACAGCAGAAACACACAAACCAATTCATATTTCGCCAGGGTTAGAATGGGCAAAGCCTGAATGGCTCTGAACATCATGCTACTCGTTCCAAGTTTACTGAAGTTGTAAGCAATTAAACAGTGCGACCTCATTTAATCTAGTCGAGGCGATCTAGCCCCAGATGATCGGAACAGATTTGATCCAGTCCGTGTGCTGTTGGAAGCTACAGAAAGGGCCATTTGCGTGTGCTACGGGATGGCGTGGTGGTCTACTTCTGAAATAAGTACCTTCGTCTGTTTCGGTGTGCGTTTGGACCGCTTTGCTCTACTGAGTGGCAGGAAAGCTTGGACAGCGGCCCAGACGAGGCTTTCTGCGATTCTCACCGGATTCAGATGTGGATTTCATAAAGCCTGCAATCAAAGGAGGCCATGAGTGCTGTTGGCCGACTGCTTGCCGAGTGTTCGACAGACGAGCTGCCAACTCCCACTACAAGCTCGGGGCTGAGCTTTCAGCACCATGGCTTGCAAGTGGTCAGCGGTTCAGGTGTGGACGCCCGCATCGTTATGAGTGACAGCTCCCAACGCCAAGCATGGCTTCAAACCAATGTGGTGGTACAACCCTTATGGCTTCTGGTCTGATCGTCTTTTCACCCGCGTGCGTGGCTTGCAAGGACTCCCCCCAGAAGCGCGTTCTCGGAGAGGTGTTGGAAGTGCAAGGTCCTTGACAGCATTGCTCCTGACAGCATCAAGACTTTGCAGGAGTTCGGACCACTCCTTGTTCTTGAGATCTGGGCCATTGCCCCGCTGTATTGCCAGTGTGCTACGGCCGTCAAAGCTTTCTTAACCGAGGTTCTGCAGGAGCGTCCATTTCTCAGTTGCTACGCAGAAAACCAGAGCGATCGCGGCGGTAGCTGGATGACATGTTGTACTGTAGCCCTCTGCAAGTCAGGCACCTGCACCTCACTGTTGCTGTCACAGGCCGCATCAGAGAGAGGGCTTTTGCCAGGTTTTGCTGGGCAGCAGGTCAAGATGGATTTCTGAATATCTGTGCACGTGTGAAGTACCCCGAGCCAGGTGAACTGTGCTCATATCGTTGACGTGCGGCAGCAAGTCTGGCAAAGTTGAGGGCTGCTGTTCTGCAGTTTCTTTGCCTGCTGGCTGTACCAGGCACGGGAGTCTGTCAGCTTCGGATCTCGCATTTGAGATACTTTTCACTTCTGGTGGGCTGGCTCAGCTTGCAGCATTCTGACCACTTGCAAGCCATCATTTTGTTGTTCCTGAGGTGCAGATCTATTACAAGTCGACCCTAAATCTTTGGCAATTGCAAAGACTGCAGGTGCCAAAGAAGGCACCGCATGATTCTTGGATAGCGATGTTCTGGTTATGAGAACGATGACGGCCAGGGCAGCGACAGCGGCCAAGCGATTTGTGCTTGGCTTAGTGGCAGATGCTCCCAGTAGCCTCATCCCCCACTCGACTTCACAGGCGGGAGCGCCTCCTGCTTGACAACGATGTTTGGCAGCAGACATCCATTTTCAATGTGCTGCCAGAGGAGCTATCTTTGCAAGTTGCAGCAGTTTGAAGTGAAAAGTGCTGGGTTTAATCTTGAACCTGTCTGTAGGAGTCGCCGGCGCCAAAGATTGCTCCGGGACTCGCAGGACCTTACATGTTGACAGAGTGTGTGCATGGTGAGCGGCTACTTGTTGACAGCATCCTTGCCAACTGCCAGCAGACAGAGAGCCATCACATTCCACGTGAGCTTGTGCACACTTTATTGAATTTATTGCAAACAGAACAGGGACTCAAGGTGCAAGGGTCTGGTGTGGGTACGAGGAAAGAATGCGAAGCAGTCTAGGATGTCTAGGCTTCGGATCGGGCCTGATGGATGATCTGTGCTTGGGCAGGACAGCAGCTTTCATTGCAGTGCACGTTTGCGCACGCACCTTCCTGGAGCAGGTTGGAGGCACTGAGGGGCCTGTCTGAACAAGTTTTTTGTCTCTGGACTTGTGGCGGCACAGGCAGTACACTTTTTCGACGAACTTCGGATATTGGTGCGCTTCGCCAGCCGATCCTCAAGCCGTCTGAGCTTTGGTGTGACCGACCGCTGTGTTGCAGATGGCAAAAAGCGCTGCGCACAGATCTGCAGGATGTGCTTGCCTTCGGCAACAGTGCTGCAGGTGCTTGACAGGGGGCCCAGATCGTAATCACAGACGAGTTGTTACTGCATTGGCTAAAGCTCCGGATATAAGCTTTTGTGACATCCAGCATGTCTAGTTTTGTGTTGGATTAGTGACTCCGAAAGGAATCAAGCTTCGGGGCCTCGGGTGGCCAGCGATTTGACTTTGTACTCCATGAGCGAACTCCTAGCTTTCGGCATCAATCCCACTGGAATTATATAGAATTCTGTGAGCCGGGCTCCTTGAATTACGTTTATTACGCTGAATATTGATTTTAATTGCGAAGCAATGAAAAAAAGGTAGTCGCGAGCTCTCGCTCTTTCATCCTTATAAACCCGGGCCCCAGTTTTCCGATCCGGCCTCAAGCCCAGTACTGATTTCCTTCTGAGAGTCTTCTGAGCTTTCAGTCTACCCCATACAAGCTGATCTCAGCCCCTCAATAAACCCCCTTGCATTATTCTGTAGAAGGATTGAGCAGGCCTGCCCCTGTAGGACATTTCAGTTGAGCTTACTAGATTGCAGCTTGCCTGGTCTTGTGTTCAGGGCAGCCAGGCTTTGATTTTGATAATTCGCTGCCTCTCTGCGTGACCGACACGTTTCTTGACTCAGCAGCTCCTCCAGCAAACATGTTTTCTTCCAATGGGCATGGCAGCAGCAGTTGCATGCGCTTGTGGTTGATGAGGGCCGTGCCCGCTGTGCGGCTTCTGCTGTTGGTGCCAGCGCGGGGTCTCCACCCCGACGGTTTCGTGTGGATGAGCCAGGGTTTTGGCCTCCCTCCTGCATGGATAGCAACCATTCCGGACATGCTGCAGACATGGCTGGTATGGGGCAGTTTTGGCCTATGTGACCGGACATTGGACCGCCCACGGTTTTGGCATGTTTGTTTACCACAAGTGGAATGGTCGCCAGGGCACGTGGTGAGAGGAAACTTGACTTACACCCCAGGTGGGGATTTGTCCAAATTTACGTCTTGAAGGAATACACTGCCCAGAAGCAGCATAGCAGAGCATGCACGCAGTTGCTCACTGAGCATCTCCCAAACAGTGCCCGCACCACTTGTCAAATTCCAACTAAGTAGCACTGTGGCCGCTGTGCCAGGAACCAGGAGGTCCCAGAATCTCGGAGCCTAGTGGTGATTCGGTCAGATGGTGTTCCCATACCTTTTTTTGGTTGTAATTCCCGATATCTGCTTTCCTTGAATGACACTTGAACAATAGCTTTACTGATGCCTAATGAGCAGAGTACACTTGCATGGTTCACCATAACTTGAGAAGTATAGTCCTTCTAGTTGGTGGCGCGTGCTCAGATCGCCTGCGGTTTGGGCGCGTTTTTAGTTGTTTTTCATTTTTGCCACATCTCCGCTGCCTATCAGTGAATCCATGCCCAAACCATAATAATGTTCGTGTCCCGAGAGCATGCGCTTGCCAGTGCATCCATGCTCAAACTATAATAACGTCCGTGTTCCGATAGCATACGCCTACCAGTGCATCTATGCCCAAGCAATAATAGCGTTCGTGTTCCAAGAGCATACGCTTGCCAGTGCATGCATGCCCAAACCATAATAACGTTCGTGTTCTAATAACGTTTGTGTTCCGAGAGCATATGCTTACCAGCGCGTTCATGCCCAAACCATAATAACGTTCGTGTTCATAGAGCATACGCCTGCCAGTGCATCCATGCCCAAGCCATGATAACGTTCGTTTTCCGAGAGTATATGCTTACCAGTGCATCCATGCCCAAACCATAGTAAGCTTCGTGTTCCGAGAGCATATGCTTCCCAGTGCAGCTGGTTGGACATGCCCTCTGTCACTCATCCGGCTCTTTCGTTTCGACTCAACACGAAGGGCAGCAGCAGGCCAGCTGAATGTGTCTGGTGCGGGCTTCAAGTCCGAAGTTCTTGGCGCAGGTCTAGACTGCTGGATTGTTTAGAGTTGCCGTGCTCTGGTGGGTTTTCAATTTGCTGTGTTAGGAGTCCACTGCACACATGGGCAGAGGGAGGTGCTGGCGCTGTAGCGTTCGGCAGGCTGTTCATAATTTTGCTTGCTGCAACAAGTTTCAGAAGGTCTGTAGAGGGTAGCG